GCTCATATAAAATTCACCAACCTATCACCGACTATTTTTTACGACTACCATACTCAGAGCTGCTTGAAAAACGGCTTTTTCGCTCTCGGGCCAACCGTCGTCTAGTTTTCTTTGCAACAAAAATATCTGGCAGTTTGGTCAGTGAGTTTTCCACTGAGGCACCACGAGCGACCATGGGCTTGAGGATATTAGCTGGCCTTAGTAGCTCGATTCCGTTGTAAGGGACCAAGGCTGCACGATGCGGGTGACACTTTCATGGGATCATGATGGTATAAGATGGTATACACCAGGCTGGGTATACCCCAGTTGCGGAATCATTTGCAGAATCCTGGCGACACGAAATGTGTCGGACTCCATCCACCAGAAAGGTTACAATTGTCTTTGCAAATCACACATGCTAGTCGATGTTGAAACCATGAACAATTACTCTAAACTCTAAACATTTTGCCCCCTCAATATGAGATGCTACAATGAATACGTCCACCACTTTCCACGAGGGTTTCCTGGTTGGATGTTTATTTATAGGGTGAAGGGATTCAAAGACAGTTGCAGCAAGAACATGAGGGGATCTTCAGACACTATGAGCCAAAAATTGAACGGCACGTTCGAAAATTCACAACAGCGGCTGGAATCAACGAATTCAACGATCTTTGGCACTTGTAGCGACGGTGTTAAATTGATGTCCATTTCCGTCTTCTCTCAATGCTTAGCATCGGTTATTCATCGTAAATATCAGTTACAGTAGTAGTTTGACTAATCCATCCCCCCAATATGTATATCAAACACACCCTAGGTCCGTAGGTCCCAATATTTGCAATTTTTCCTACTAAACAATGGTCCCAATGGATCGTTGGATCTTTTTTTGGATCAAACGTGGGAAAGTCATCGATATAGCTGGGGAATTTTCATGAATTTCCATTGCCAGGTTTGAATACAGTAGGGCTCAGTAGGCTACTAATCTTGGGGACTGTTTTTCACAAGATCCGACAAACTCTTTTAGAAACACGGAAAAAATCGAAGCACTATCTTCACCCACTGGATAAAATTCAGAATCTCAAATTCGGTCACATGACGGGTCAAAACGGGTCACATGTTTCAATCATGATGGTGATTTCTCAAAATGGGGCATCCTCAGTATCATAGGTTTTAAGACTTAAACTTATAGAATTTTGGATGATCTTCGAAACCACCATTTTAGGAGACCTCCATACAATCCCAGCACGTGGACTTCTGCACATGTTCCAATGATTTCGATAATCGTCACCCAGTGATACGCAGATGTTGATGAACTTGGTTGTTGGAAGGGGGCATGTATGAACATGAACATCGATAGCAACCAGCCAGTTTTGATTAATGTGAAAAATGTGATAAACCACGTATCATGGTTTTGAATGTGTTTGGCCCAAAGCCAACCATCCTATTTTGGCCACTGTTCAGCCTAGAGGATTACCTTCGGAGGTTGCTTGAACAAATTGGCATCAACACCGCCTGTTTATCCATGCGTGTTGCCTTCTATACCTATCACTGGTTGATGGTCGAATATGTTAAGCCTTGAAGCGTTACGGTTAATTACTGGGGTCAATGGTTTGGGTTTTACCACTGTAGCATCCCACTACATCCCAGTTTGGATGATTGTTTGCCCTAAATTCGCCTGTCCGAGATGTACAAAAACGATTCATTGCTGTTCATTTGACAACTGCGAATGTTTCTTTGTTTTAGATAAAAACTTGAAATGTTGGGTTCATCATTGGCTCTACCACTCTACCACATTAATATACATTGAATAGCATTAAATTATATCCCACTTACGGAGGCTTTAACCTCCTGACAATTCAACACTATTCAGTAGGGGTAAAACCGCCAATCTGGAAAGATATTCAACTTATATATTCAATACCTGGCCATTGGTTTTCATTGTCTCCTAATGTTCATCAAAACGTCTCCAAGGTCAATTCGTGCAAGCGGCGCACGAGCCTCCGGTCTTGCGGAAGCACGTGGAAGCCATCGCTTTCAATCACCTAGACCTTGACCCTTGGACCAGCATCCACTGGACGAGGGAAGAGGGTAAGAATATGGGGGAGTCTCAAAATAGGAGATCCCGAAAACCATATGTTTCAATACCCAAATGGTCTAATGACTTGGATGATTTGGGGCACCCTACCCCATATTGTTTGGCTATGCCATAGGATGTACAATACATAATTCCAGATTTGAACACGGCTCAAATAGACAAAACATGAACGGATGCAGCTTGATAATTTTTCCGGTCACGTGTTGCATCGTGTTGCTATAATTTTAAGTGTACCAGCATCATGAAACATGTGCGACAGAAAGCTGGGAAATAAGAACTGGAAACTCTGATCACATTTCCTGCCATATCCGGGCAGATCTTCACTCGCATGCACGGGACACAGGCGAAAGCAGCGAATGAACATGGGGATCTCACAAATGATGGTGATATGAAGGTTTCCTGAAATAGGGGTACCCCTAAATCATCCAT